AATATTTATTTATTTGGAGATTTAACTTTTTTTTGCATGGTTTTTACGACTTTGGTTTTATTATTATTTTTATATTATTTAATGAGGTCACCTGTGGTTTTTTTTATTTGTTATTTTTTATTATGTTTGTTTAAAATTAAATTTTATTATTGAACTAAATTAAATTGATTTATTTAATATATACGGAATGCTTGTTTTGTTGGATTTATTGTCTAGGGTGGTTGCTCTAGCAATACCATGGATGCCAATTTCTTGCCATGTTGATGTTCAATTTTTTTTTTTAGATTTAAATTGTTTTAACAAGTTTTTTTTATATGCGGTGATTGATACACATAATAAAATAATGATGAGTTTTTAATAATTTTTTTATTTTTTACTATTAGATGTTATATCGATTAGCTCATTTATTTTAGTTGGATATTATTAAATATTTTTTTTATTATTTATAATTATCAATGCATGTAATTTAAATCACATTATTAGGCTATCAAGTCTTATTAAACCCAGTTGAATTAATGATTGTAGTATGGATTTTTCTTTCTTGTTTTATAAATATTATTGTGTTCTTAATATTTCTTTGGTGTGCTTAAAAAAATCTTGAGCAGCCAACGAGATTGCGCGGGTCAACATCTAGCATGACACTGTATGTGGAGTGTAGGGTAGTATCTTGACCAACCGTTTATATTGGTCTTGTGCCCCAATACGACAGAAGCGAGGAGATTATAACGTTTTGTTTGTAAATGCTTGACTTTTGTTATTGTTTGAAAGTATTTAAAAAAATAAATATTTTTTCATTTTTTAAAAATTAATATATTTTTAATATTTTTATATCATGATAAGCAGATATAAAAAATATATTTTTTAAAATAATAATAAAATATTATTTTATTATATTTTTAAATAAATAATATTTTAAAAAACAACTAGAACTACCTTCTTAATTAATCTAATCTTATATTATATCAAGGATAATAATTTAACTTAAATTTAACTAATACCGATCCAAAACAATTCAAATGAATGATTTTTTTGTTATAGTTATATTATTAAAAAAACAACAAATATAAGATCATATAAGAACATGGAAATAGATAATAAGATATGATGTCAATATAGAAACGGTGGAATTGTTTCCGGTGTGAGTGCATTTGCGACCAAACCTTTCTTTATTGAATATATGATGACTATTCATGCGTTGATTTTTAAACACACCATCTTCCTATTTTTTGCTATAAATTAATTATGATTCAAAACTAGGAGCACGCTCTTAATAAGAAATTCGCGTCCCCTCACTCAAGGCATCCACCTTCACTTATTTTATTTTATTTTCTTTTATGATAAAAAATATAAGAGCCCAGGAGACATTTGACCAACCAATCTCATAATTCGACCAAAAATCTATGAGAACAAAAAGGCCCTTGGATCTTGAAATGTCTCAACCTACTATAATTGCCATTTTCATCCACATATAATTGTCATTTGATACTGTAATAATAATTATTTTTTAAAATATTTTTTATTTAAAAATATATTATTTTTTAATATTAATATATAAAAATCATAAAAAATTCTTAAAAATCTTCAAATATTTTAAAAACTATATTTTTACATAAAAAATAAAATCCAAGTAATTCATCATCCACTATCACCCTGTTGGCCACTGATATTGAAAGAAAAACAATTCATGTATAAATTTTAAAGGATATAATTTAATTAATTAAATTTTAAATTTATTTTTTAAAAATTATCAGTTGAATATTATAAATTTTAAAATTATTAAAAAATTATATAATTATTAATTTTAAAATTTTTAAAAATTAGTTAAGATATACAAACTAGCTGACATGAATAATCAAATTTTTTTAAAAAAATATCCTGTACACGAAAGAGAGCTCCCTCTTTGGGATGTAGCTAACCCACCAACCATGGGGGATCAGGTGAGCGTTTGTCAATGCCATTTCCAGAGGCATGGGACATAAACAAATAATTTGGTCCAAAGTTTGGTACACCTATCTGGTACAGTCCATCTGGATACGAGTAAATGACCAAAAGGACCTTTTATGTTGTCATACACGGTGGAAGAAGACAGCTAATATCATCATATCCTCTGGTTCGTGCTAGATGTTGTGTCTTGTCGGCAAAGTTAGATAGATCACTGTTTGATTTGATAAGTTATCAATCAAGCTCTCTCCCCGTGATGGTTAAAAGTAGCTTCATATTTAAACCCTGATTATTTTTATATTTTAAAAATATTAAAAATATTATTATTTTTTAGTATTTTTAAATTATTTTAATATATTAATATTAAAAATATTTTTTAAAAAAAATAAAAAATATTATTTTAATATATTTATAAATATAAAATATTTTAAAAAAATAATCATAATCATATTCCTCATCATGCCAACTTAGATTTAATAAATAATATATTTTTTTAAATAAATTTTTATTTAAAAATTTATTTTTATATTATTACATTAAAACAAATCAAAATATAAAAATGATTAATTAAAAATTAAAAAGCATGAAATGACATACAAAATTATTTGTTTCCTTTAAAAAGCCATGTTTGAATTGATTATTAATGGATATTTTTTAAATAGCACAATTCATAAAAATAATTTATAAAATAGCATAACTTAAAAAAAGCTAAGAAGAATAACATAACTTGGATAGTTGGGCTATTAAAAATAGCACAACTTAATAGGCCATGCTCTTTTTGATACTATAATTCAACAATTTAATTGATAGCTACTTAAATAAGCACAAATAATGCATTGCGTTGTTAGAAGTAGCATGATTTCTCAAGCTATACTACTTTTTTAAATTTTTTTTATTATGGTAATTTGTAACATACTTTTAAGCCTGTACTTTTTTAGTCTTTTTTAATAAAATATATTCCGAGATATTTTTAAGCCTGAAGTCCTGGGCTCGAAAAGGTTGTGTATTACATTTCACAAGAGGTTTGCTACATTATATGCGATCATGAGATTCATGCATTGGCTTGCTGCATTAGACTGAGTATGTAAGTTGAGTGAATATTACATCTTAAGATATTTGATCACATCACATCATGTTTTATCAATCTTTTTATATTTAATTATAAGGCTATAAAACTGTTTTTTAAGTATTAATTTCAACTCTATTTTTCTTATTACTATAAACTCAGGCACACGGGCCACACCCATTGGTTCAACTTGTCGAATTCTTGATGGACAAGGTTGAGTTTCAAAGCTAGTAGAGTTTCAAAGCAAAATGGGCAGATTCTATCTAATGTGAACTAGCCAACTTTATAAGTATATTTATAACTAGATTAATTTGATTAAAATTTATTTTTTTTTAAATTAAAAAAATAAAACAATATTAATTTAATGTTTTGTTTATAAAAAATATTAGAATGATGTTATTTTAGATAGCTATAAGTCAAAGAGGATAAATTCACTTAATCTGATTTAGATCATGACTCTTGCTAAATTTGATAATATTATCTTTTCAAATTTATTTTTTATCTAACTATAAAAAAATCATATAAATAAAAACATATGCATAAAAGACAATGAACAAAATTATCAAGGAGAAATATATCTCTTCAATCTAAACTTTATATTCCTTTTGATGTATCTCTCAATTGTTATAATGAAAAATGTATTTTTTTTATTGTAAGCAATGTTTTTTAAATAAAAACCCATTATGACCTTAAAAAATTTAAAAATTTATAAAATAATGTCTAAGTATTTTTGTATGTGATTGAAGGGAAAAAAATAATAAATATGATCAAATCATGTTATAAATCAATCAAGAAAATTAAAGAATAAAAAAATTATTTTCATTAAATATTCTAGAGCAACTTGTTTTTTCATTTTTGTATATAAGGTGCATAATAATACTATATAAGAACTATGATAAAATTAAAAAATAATTTAAACATCACTTCAGCGTGTGTTTTTTTTATAGTGCATTTTCAAAAAAAAAAAAACTAAATCTTGGAAAAAAAAAACCCATAAAAAACGCTAGGTATTTGGGCCAAAGTGATAGGCATTATGCGCAACTAAAAAAGTTATCTTATCCTAAAACACTTTTAAACTGGTTTAAAAATATGAAATAAAAGAAAACTATTGTCAATCTCGATTTAGTTTTTTTGATGATATAAAATTCAAAAACACCTCAAAGACATTCTACTAATTTAGAAAAACACATTGAAGGACACAAAAAATGCAAAAAACTATTAAAATCTATAGAGTTTTGTGAAAGGTTATAGAGTAATCCTATGTTTATTTGTATCTGTATCTGTAATTGTAATTATAATGTAACGTGCAAGCTTACCCTTTCCATGAGCACCTTCTGTATTATAATTCATTGGACAATGAACTCTCTGGATTTTCTAGGCCATCTCTGATCATGAATCAACAATTCTAAGGCCGTATTCCAATCTCATCTTTTCTTTTATCCTAAGTTTTCTGTCCTTTGCTATTTGTTCTTGTAAGTCCAATTTCACAACACATTACCTTGCCCAAAATTTAATTAAGATTCACATAATACTATTCTTGCTTTCGATTTTCCCACCGAAAGCAACGACCCGATTTGATTCCAAAGAGTGCTCGCCATGGATCGAAGGAATATATATTATGTTTCCATTGTCAATCGTAGAAGGGTTAGCATGATCATCAAGAATTACGTTCCCTAAGTAGCAGAGTTGGTATCTTACGTTCGAATCCTCTAGTCCTCACATGAATACTTTCTCATAACTATCAAGATTGTAAGAAAGTAAAACACTTGTCAATCCTTAATCTGCAATTCTGCACCGAACAGATCAGAGACTCTGAGAAGTTGACGAGGTCGTGAGCTCTAGAGACGAAAGATAGTGTATAGAAATGCTTCCGCGTTGGGATTGCATGGATCTTGGGCCTTTCCGTAGGTGCTCCCTTGTTTTTATGGGGCCTAGGCTCCTTCTGCGAGACGAAAGATAGTGTATAGAAATGCTTCTGCCTTGGGATTGCATGGAACTTGGGCCTTTCCGTAGGTGCTACCTTGTTTTTCTGGGGCCTAGGCTCCTTCTGTAACCCTAAAATATCAAGCTTATTATACTTTTGCAAGACTGAACTTGCGCATTGCATGTCCATTGCTTTCTGGCTGTTGTGATGGGGCCTCAGGCTCCTTTTGTAACCCAAAATTAAAATATCAAGCTTATTATACCTTTGAAAGACTGAACTTGCTCTTTGCATGTCCATTGCTTTCTAGCTGTTGCGAGCCATTTTGTAATCATGGGCTCTGGCTAACTTACAAATGCATCCATCATTTGTCTTCAAACAGATTCGAGGACAAAGTTTTTTTTTTTTTTTTGAAGAAAAGATTCAAGGCTAAAGTTGAGAGAGCAAGAGTGCCTAGATTCAAATATCATAGTATGGAATAAGGTCCATCCAAACTGGAATACAATTAATTGATCCATCTTCATTGCCATGTATAACCTGGCCTGAGTATTAATATAATGGCTGAGCTCTCTACCTTCTGTTAAGAAAATGCTTTCATGTTTGTCCATGCATCCTAGTTCCAAGAAGAGTGTCTTTGATTCGATTCAGTTCAGCCACAACATCGCCAATGTCCATCCTCTCTCTTGGAAGTTCTACTGAACAAGCAACTCCCATCTTGATAATTGTCATCAAACATGCAAATATTTCGTGAGGTCCAATATGGTTCGGGTTCATTTCGTCAGAGGAATTGACACTTCGGATTTCTCTCACTAGTAACGGATCCACGACTTCGACAATGCGGTCTGGCAGTGCCATTTTAGCATAGTTGTGAAGGTTCAGCCCATCTTTGAACATGCCATCTACAGGCCTCTTTCCTGTAAACATCTCCAACAATAGGATGCCATAGCTGTACACATCACCGTAAGTGGACACCTTGCCTCCGATACCAGATTCTGCGATTTATATACATGGTTGTGTACAAAGTTATTTATGACCTTGAAGACTAGTACTAAGATTCAGAACATGGGGCATTTCTTCACATCCTAAATCCATCACGACGGAAAGAAATTTCACAACCAGTAAATAATGAAAAACCATGAATGTTACCTGGGGCTGCATAGCCGATGGTGCCTTTCAAACCAACAGAGCTAGTTTGATTTGAAGCTTCTGAACGGAACCTCGCTAATCCAAAGTCTCCAACATGAGCAGTCATGTTAGTGTCTAGAAGAATATTGCTCGGCTTCAAATCGCAATGAATGATAGGCATTTGACAATCGTGATGCAAGTAGTTCAGTGCGCTAGCCATATGAATTGCAATGTTTAACCTATGCATGAGATCCAAAGCTTTTGGCTCGTTTGCCTCGTCTGATGTTTGAACTGGATGCAACCACTCTTCTAGACTTCCATTGACCATGAACTCGTAAACTAGAGCTCTAAAATCATTACCTTGGAAATCAATGCTAGAACAAGTAGTCAATAACTTGACAAGATTCCGATGCCTGATATTCTTTAAAGCTTCACATTCTGCCATAAAACTTTTGGAGGCTCCTTTACGTAGAAGGTTGAGAACTTTCACTGCAACGACTATGTTATCTGGTCCAAGAATTCCTTTGAAGACAGAACCAAAACTACCTTCACCAATTAAATTTGCTGAAGAGAACCCATCAGTTGCCCCGAGGAGATCTTCATAGGCTACTCTAGGAAAAGAGGTCTCCAATGAAGGTTGAGAAGCAGCAGGCTTATCTTTCTTCTTTCTGAAGCAATAGAAAAGCAAGAAAGAGATGATCAAGATTACTCCCAGAAAGCCACAAACACTTCCGATTATCCATATCAGCTTGGTGGGAGATTTCGAATTCGCTGGTTCACTGGATGGGCATCTGGTCAGATTTAATTGGGGCATTCCTCCACAAAGCTTCTTGTTTCCGAAAATAGAAATTGCACTTGCATTCTGAAAGGGTCCTTGGACTGGCACCTCACCTTCAAAGTCATTAAAAGACAGATCCAGACTCTCCAATAACTTAAAGTCCTCCAGGAACTCAGGAATTTGGCCTGTCAGGTTGTTGTAGGAGAGATTAAGTTCTTGAATTGCTCTCAAAGAACTCAAAGTGTTAGGGATTGGCCCTTGCAAAAAGTTTTCCTCCAAATGCAAACTTTCCAAACTCACACAACTACCAAGACTTTTAGGAATTTCTCCAGAAAACCTATTTTTAGAAACGTCGAGATATCCAAGATTCACCAACTTCTCCATTTCTATCGGAAGAGATCCTGTCAGCTCATTCTCCGACAGTACTAAGTACATTGATAAGGATGGGATACTAACTAGTTCTTTTGGAATGGGACCGCTCAAATTATTTTGCGAGAGAGCCAAGGACAATAACTTCTGCCAATTTCCCAGACTTGGTGGAATGCTTCCCTCTAAATTATTGAGTCTCATGTTAACTCTCCCTAAAGAAGTCATATTCCCCATTGAAGATGGGATCATCCCAGAGATTTTGTTTCCATTAAGAAATAGATCACTCAGCTTCTGTAGTTTCCCCATAGAACTTGGTATCATGCCAGTCAATTGATTTGTTTCCAACCCTAAAGCCACCAAGTTGATTAGGTTTCCAATTTCGCTTGGAATGCTCCCACGGATTTGATTCCTCGCAAATGTCATCTTCATGAGCTTTGTGGAGAAGTTGCTTACTATTTCAGGAAGCACCCCTCCAAAATTGTTATCACTTGTATCCAAAGCCTCCAAACTAGTCATGTTATTTGCTAAAGGATAGACAAAATTCAAGTCATTATTTTCACCTTTTCCCAGATTATTATTACCAACACCCAAAACTTGCAAATCATGTGAGTTTGACAGTGGTGGAACTTTACCAATGAAGTAGTTATTTCCAATTTGAAAAGAAAGGAGATTTGAGGCATTAGAGAAAGTTGCCGGAATTAGCCCACCGAATTGGTTAGTGTGGATTGTAAACACTTGAAGGTTTGGAAGAGTTAGGCCTAAGGTACGAGGAAGACTCCCATAAAGCTGGTTAACGGGGAAAGATAGTAGAGTAAGAGAAGAGAGATTGAATATAGAAGGAGGAATGATGCCAGACAGATTATTTGCACCACACGAGAGTATTTTTAATCGTTTCAATTGTCCCAAAACATTCGGAATACTTCCTTCCAAATTATTTATGGACCCATAAATTGCATTGATAGCTGACAGATTTCCAAAAGAATATGGTATCGCGCCAACAAAATTATTGAGTTCAAAAATCAGTACCTGCAACTTTGATAATAACCCAAGTTCGGCAGGAAGTTTGCCTGTCAAATTGCCTCTATTTAAATCAAGGATTCGGAGGTTTGCACAACGCGAGATGTTGACAGGGATTCCGCCTTCGAACGTGTTGTTCCTGAGGAACAACTCCTCCAGCCGAAACAAACGACCTAACTCTTGAGGGATATAAAGGCTTAAGCTATTATCTGCCAAGTTTAATATCCTGAGGAAACTCAAGTTGCCTATGTGGGGAGATAGGCTGCCCACTAGCTGGTAAGAGTGGAGGTCAAGCTCCACAACCCTTCGATGGCGGCGTCCACAAGTAACACCTGACCACTGGCAGAAGTGAGACGATTCATTCCACGAGCTTAGCTTACCAAGGGGGTCACCTGTTATTTGAGCTTTAAAAGTTAGCAGGGAGAGTCTGTCGGTCTCATTGCCCCCATATATCGAGAAGGAAAAAGAAACGAGTAGATATATTTGCAAGAAGATTGGCCACAATATCCATGAACTCATGCCAGGCAGCATCATTTTGACGCTAATCTCCAGAGCTTTACTGGTACTGATTATTGAAGGAATTGTAAACAATATTGTTATATGATGATCATGGAGGCTTGGACCATTGTAAATTGTTATATGATGATCATGGAGGCTTGGAGCTGTAAATTGCTTACTTTTGACTACAGATGAATGGTTATGAGGAAACGGTAGCTAATGAAAAAGCTAGAGCCGACGAAGATAAGATGTACTATCGCGAGAGAATAATATACTTCATCATATCTCGCTAATGAAAAAGCTAGAGCCGACGAAGATTTTAAGATGTACTATCGCGAGAGAATAATACACTTCATCATATCTTTGTATCTTTCATCTTCATAATTTAAAGAAATGATTCTTTAATACAATATTAAATATAATATTAAAATTTTAATCATTAAATAGTTATAAATTTAAAATTTATTATTTTTATTTATTTAATAAAAAATAAATATAAAATAATATAAACTTATCTCAATTTCAAGTTTAACAAACTTTTATTTTAAAAAAATATTAAAAAATAATATAAATTATATTAGAACACCTTATCTACTAAGCTATTAAATCAAGATATTGTTGTACACGCATGCGTAGATAGAATTCTGGGAAGTCTAATTTTGCTTTGTTTTTATATTTTAAAAAAATTAAAAGTTTTTTTTTAAATTAATATATTTTTATTATTTTTAGATATTTTAAAACCCTGATATTAAAAATAATTTTGAAAAATTAAAAAAAAATTATTTTAATATAATTTTAAATAAAAAACACCAAACAATCTTTTTAAACATTGTATTCAATGCAAAAACAGGCTCCAGGAGCAGAAGGTCCTGGCTTCCATTAAAAAAAAAAAAAAGACTATTTTTTTCAACCAAGGGTTTCATGACTGGGATCCACTGACATGGATGGGAGTAGGTGAGACGAGCTTGATTTTTGAAATTTTTTTAATTAATTCAATCACATGCGTTTCAAATGGGTTATGAAGAGGAAAAGATTGCGGGGTCCTCATGGCTCTCTGGACGTTGTAGTCAATGCAAATTTCTGGATCATATCATAATTAATTTCTTAATTCTTGAGAAGAAAGTCCAAGTCAAACCATCCTTGCCCACTATCTTGTTGCATTGAAACAAAAACATTAATTTATGTATATTTTTAGCACCAGCGATCGACCATAACCTCTTTTTTTTTTTAATTTAAATAATGTAAACAAAGTTTTATTTTTATTTTTCCTTCGAACTGGAGCGTCTGGAAATAGAATTAAACTATTTATTGACAAAAATAGCTCATAATTCAAGGTAAGGTTTTAAATAATTGTTAAGTGATCAAATGGTCTGTCCTCTTTGTTTATTTACCAACAAAACTTAAACCATTGTTACCTCCAAAGCTTAATCTAAAGACGAGTTGTGGTCTGATCTAGCAAACGGGCTCCATTATCTCATGCTTCTCTCTCCTTTTGGTATAATCTCATGTCTTCTTGAGATAAGAAATAAGCTAGGATTGTTTAAGTTTTAAAAATTATAGCAGTAAATTGTAGAGAAAAAAATTAGAGTTTCTTAAGCTCTCAAATTGCAACTAAATTATAATGTGAATAATCATAATCTTAAACCATGCAAAAATAACATAGTAATTGTTTTAAATAGAGAACTTAAACTAGAGAACTCACAGCAAGTAAGATTTTGAAACCCAACTATGATCAAAAGAATATAAAAATAACTATGAAACAATTTTTTTTTATATCTAATCTGGGTATGATTAGAGTCGGCTGATTCACTATAAAATCAGATTTATAAAATACACTTGTAAAATTTTAACTTAATCCAATCATGGAATTAAAAAATATAAATCATTCTAAAAGTTTATGTCTAGAAGTTTGTCCAGACACTGCCATTATATATGCACTCCAATCTTGAGATCATATAAATCATTCTCCCCGGCATATCTTTCCTTCAAAACAAGCTGGCGCCGCCAATTTGAAGGCCGTCAAGATATCGACTAATTAATTTTTATTAAAATGTAGATGACCGGGACTAGGAACAAGCTTTCTGTGGGATGCGTCAAGAAATTCTACAGTGGTTAGAAAAGGTCGCAAAACTGGACCTGCCCAGGTCGAAGGTATGAGAAGGTCCTCCTGAAAAAAAGACATGATGAAACTAGTTTATAGTTTTCATCTGTTTTGGTTGTTGTTATTAACATTAATTCTGATAGTGGGTTTATGATGTGGTATCTCCTATAAAAATATTGTATTAGGGATTAACTAATATAAAAATATTATGTTATAAATTTACAATGATTCATATAAATATATTGTGTTAAGAATTTATAATTACATAATCCCATAAAAATGTTAGGAATTCATAATAAATTAAACTAGGTATAAAAAGATATTCATGGTGGATAATATTTTCTAACTAAAATTTGAACTTAGAATAAATTCCTTTCAATCTAGGAAGACTAATACAAGAGATAAATATCTTTTAATCTTGTGTTTTTTTTTGTATTATTATGTGTTTTTTTTATTTGAATGGAATTATTTTCATAGTTTATTTTTTTATTTAGTATTAGTAGGGTTTTTAGTTGTTTTTTCTATATAAAAGGCTATGCTAGCTTGTTAATGAGCAATTAAATACTTAATGAATAAAAATAAGTATTTTTATAATCTTGTATTTTTTATATTTAAAAATTTTGATTTATAAGAATCTTGTTATCATTCACTTTTATGTGCGAGAGGGGGGTTGGGGTGGGATTGCAAGAGGCTATTTAAATTTCAAAGAACAAAAATATGAACGTCAGAAAAAAATGATTTGTTTTTATTTCTGCAGCTGCTTTCTATCCACCATACATTTTTGAAGGATAATAAAAAGGCATAAAATGTTCATACGTATACGGCACCGTTTTTTGTTGGGACTGCATCACAAATTTTTTATTCAGGCTACGTATTAATCATTATATTTCTTGTGTTTATTCCATGAAAATGAATGTAGGAAATAAGAACATAATTCAAGATTTTATATTCAAAATAAATTAATCATGAACTAGTATAATTACCATGTTATATATATCGCAAACTTCTATTTCAGCCCGTGAATAGTGTTATTCATTTTAAAACTTTGCATTAAAAATAAAAAAAAATTGGTATATGTAGATAAGCCAGTTTATTTAATTTATATAAAAAGTTCACAATGATACATGAAGGAAAATTTTTTTTTTATAACAACATAAAAAAAACCCTTCTTTAACATAAAAAAGTTTTTTCTTCTTCATTATTATTGGGACAATTCCTATAGTTTTTTTTTTTGAATCGAGCTTGGACCATATCTAAATCAAGATTAGCTACAATAACAGCGGTCCACAAGGAAGTGTTAGGAACAAAAACGACCCAAGCCCGTCTTAAAAACTAATCCAATAGTAGTGGGCCAGAAGCCTAAGTATTTAATGGTCTTGTTCTCTAAAAACAGCCCAGCAACAAAAGATCAAGTGAATATTTGAGTTAGAGAAGAAATAACACGATGAAGTGAAAGAATCTTCATCTTGTTAGACCAGTCTGGTTTGATTCAATTTGAAATCTAGTTATTGAATAATCAAGTTATTGAATATTTGACACCTTTGCGCACATGACCAAAAAGAAAACTAAGAAGAATTACTCTTGTTTACTGAAAAGGTGGTCTTACTTTCTAGAATTGAAACAAATCGAACCTTGACAATGTACTGTAACATGATAATAAAACGGAATAACAGTCCCATAAGATGAATATTGATTGTTACATGCCTAGTAAATTGTAATGAAATGAAATATAAAGTAAGAGAAGAAGGTGGAAATGAGAATTCGTTTCTTCTTCAATGATTCATCACATTAAATGATCTACCAGCTGTATGGAGGAGAAAGACGCCGCAACTTGTTCCAGTTCTGTGAATTCATGTTACGATTGTGAGAATCTTTTTGATGACAATGGTATTCCCTTCTCATTTGGTACATATACATCAGAGTTGCTTCGACAAAAGAATGGAAAAGGACATGAGATCCCTCCACATATGCTAGCACGACTCCAGCTACTGCGCCTCTTGAAACGTGAAGATTGTTTCGAGTTTTGTTTCTCGTGGCCGTCCGGTTTGTTTCTTGCATTCTTGATCATCCAACGATTTGAACCTTTGTTAGTATCTTCATCGTTTTCATCAGCAGCATCAAGAAATGCACCTAGTAGTGAAAATGGTGGTGAAATGTTTTTCTTTTTCTTGAATTTGAGAGGAATAATGATTTCCCGATTAAGGAAAGGTTCCCTCAAGGATGAAAATTCTTGATCAATGCTGTTTCCTTTGCTTGTGTTGATCTTGATTACATTCAAGCTCTCATGACTTGAATCCTTTCCAGTTAAGGTAGCATCAAGACATACCTGTGGTTGTGGAGTTGGACATACAGGTTGTTCTTGTGCATGTGTCAAGGGAGGAATAATTTTCTTGATTTCAACAGGGACGATCTTCCCATTCAGGAATAGTTCGTCTGCCAGTGGAGATTCTAGATTGATGGTGTCGTTGTGAAAGCAAAAATCTGAATTCAATGAACTTGATTGGGGAGGGCGCTGTTCTATCGGCACAATGCCTCTCTCGGAAAAATCACGAGAAAAGGAGATTCTGGGACCCGCACAAGAATCATCCAAGCATAATTCATTAGCCATTACTTGAAATTCTTCAAGAAAGCTAGCACAGCAAGATTTTTCAAGGAAAACAACAATTTCTGTTTTGATGGTAAGCTATCTAGAGGAGAATGAAAGCCTATCAAATTGCAACAAAATAGAACAGTGCCAAAGGGAGATTGGAAATGAATTCTACATGCACAGCTACTGTGCAAGAGAGGGAAACTAAAGCAAAAAATAGAGCTATCTAAACAGATGTACCATGTAAAACGAGAGGAAATATCAAGAGATACAAAAAAAAAAACACAAGTCTTATTGTGTCACAAGTCCGGCATCCTGAGTTGCTGAAACGGCAAGCTGCTTGTTTCTTTTAGGAAGTCCTGTTTTGAGTGGTTATGTACGACAGGAACACAAGGCACTCCCCTGTTAGTCGTTTTGTATTTGCTATCAAATTGGGAATCAGTAAAATGATGTTTTAAATTGATTAAAGCCTCGTGATTGGCTCTAGTAATTGTCAAAACTATACAGAAACGGGTGGAGGAAGAATAATTAAGCGATAATGAGAAGCAAACCGAAAAAAATAGAGGATAAGGATTTTGTCAGAGAATACAAGTGTTCAAATACTGTAGGAATGTTGTTACACTTTCCATTTGCCGATTTGAATCATTAGTTTTGCATTTGTCACAGATGCCACTGGCCAATTTGAATCATTCACGTATATGTTACTGCCTGGTCGGTCCCTGAGGACAGCTGCATGGGCCATGAAGCTGGCAATCTACCCAGCTAATTGACCATTTTTCGCGGTGGTTTCAAGTGACCATTTGATGTCAGCACAAAATTTTCAAGTGTCAATTTGCATTGAGTACTCTAATAGGGATTTCTCTAATGAAAAGATTGCAATATGCTGCGGCTCTGTATTTTTACTTAGTAAAATATTTAGATGTTGTAAGCTTTTTTTTTCTGTATTTTTACTTAGTAAAATATTTAGACGTTGTAAGCTTTTTTTTTTTTAAAAAAAAAATCAATAATTTAAGTTATAATCTCAATTAGCTAAAAAAATTGGTACTGGTAAATTAGTCTAAATTCACCTAATAATTTATATTTTAGATTATGAGATTGAAATAATTTGATAAAAAAATCATAAAAATATGAGATTGAAATAATTTGATAAAAAAATTAAAAAAATCACAATTATTCTAAAAAAATATCAAATGATGATATTGGAAAGAAAAATAAATAAATAAAATATTAACTTTTATTAACTTTTCAAACTTGATTGATAAAAGTAGAAACATTATACATAAAAAAAAAATTGTTAGATGTTTATTTAAAGTAGATCGTTGAACAACTAGCCGCGAAAGGCTCTGCTTTTGGTAATGGGTTCGATTCTGCTCCCACAAAAGCTTATATGTTTACATCAAAGATTGTTGTGGCAGCCACGTTCAATGACTTAAAATCCCGTGGTGGGCAAAACTAGAAGTCAAGGGAGGTACAACAGATTCCCTCTTGAGGTCTATTTTTTTATATAGAGTTGAGGTATAAGGTAGGAATCTTCTTTGCGCGCAGTATACTGCCAGTAAGGTAGTTGTCAGGATGGTTCTGAGAACTGGGATCCACACGGCTGTTCTAAACATTGGCATGTGTATTAGTTTTCTCGAGAAGGAAACACAGAGGCTGACGATACCATGTTAAAACATTGCAAGACATGACAAAAACTGATGAGCATTTGGAGGAGAGGAAGCAGAATTGAAGAGTGTACACCATGAACAAGAGATATACATAAAAAAGGGACGAGCATGAACCAAGAGTACATGTCTTTGTTTATGACACACAGCATGTGCCATGATGAAGCTCTTCCCCCGGCTCCCCCCTCCCACTCTTGCATATTTCCATCTCTTTCGGGTCTGAATGCTGTCGATGTAGTACATCAGTAGGCTTTCTTGACAACTACCTAGCTAGCTAGTTGGCCAAGCAGGCAAGAAAAAAAGGAAAACAACAAACAAATAAAAACGACACTTGCTGCTGTTCTTTTCTGTATGGAAAAGAGATGAAGCCGAGACATTGGACAGTTTGCAAACATTTCCTCTAGAAAAGAAACATTTAAAGAGACTCGAACAAAATTAAATTACCATTTTCTTACATCATTGCCGAGCTTATAAATTATGCCTCCATAAACATTTGAAGTGAATACTACCCAAGTATCTATTGGTAATAATTTTAGGAAAATCACTATGAAGTGAATTGGCTAGCTGTTGCTGGTTTGAATCAAAATGAGCAAGGACTTTCCTTTTCTTCGTGCTTGTGAGCTAGCAGCCTACTTTTTTTGCATCTGGGGCTGCTAGTCATCAGAGAAAATGCATAGTTTTTAACAAAAAGGAAGAAGAAAACGAAATGGCAAGTTGGGAAGGGATATTTATGTTACTGAAATTCATCTTGAAACCAGTAATTACAATTATTTGTTAATAATTCTTGAATCCAAACAAGAACAACCAACTCGTCATGTTCTCCCCAACCGAAAACAACTAGACACCATAGAAACATACCCACAAACTTAAATAATCTCTTCTTGTATAAAATGAAAGAAGAAACCAAAAATCAAATTATCTACAGCATGTGTGAGCAAATACCAAAAGCAATGGTTACCTGTCATTTTGTGCTCCTGAACCAAATTCCTTGAATTTTATCATCTTTCGGTCCCTCAACCCCCTCCACCTTTCTATCTCTTTGTCTTCATGGCAATCTTTTCAAATGGCAAATCAAGTAAACAAAAATATTTTAAGTAAAGAAAAGAAAAACATCAAGCCACCAAAAAAACAGCATTCAAATTTAGGCTGAAAGTAGTTTTTAATTAAAGCACATATTTGGTAAGTCACTTCTTCATGTTCTTCTTATCTTTTCCATTGAAGAAGATTGAACCTAAACCAAATAGATTCCCTGATGGAACATTCAGAACTGGACTGACTCGAACACCATTTCCATAAGGTCCATAATTCTTCTTCAATGGAGGCTTCTGGTAATTCTTCGTAGACGACGATTGTGATGACTTGAAAAATGCTTGTTTATTTTGCTTATGGTTAGTGTCTTTCGTTAATGGTGCTCGCTTACTTCTTGGTGTTGAACCAGCAGAGTAGCTTCGCGATAAGAGTGGCAAATGACACAAACTTTTTCCATAACCACTGGCACAATTCAAGCTACTACTCCTCTTGAAACTCCAAAAAGATTTTGAACTTTGCTTTTGATCTTCTGCTTCATAATTACTCGAACTCTTCATTTCTTTCAAGCGGTCTTTCTTCAGACTATTATTGCTGGAAACATCATCTTGTAGGACTTGTCTTGAGGGCACAGACGAATCCATTTGTTTAGCAGAAGCAGTCTTTTTCTTGATTTCAGTGGGAAGAATTTTTCCATCGGAGAAAAGCTCGTCTGCTGACGATGAGTCGAAACTCTTCCGGACGGCGCAGAAGTCGAAATCAATGTTACCTAATGAACCTGATCGAAGAGGGAGGCGTTGTTCAAAGGGAACAATATCCGGTACGCAAAGATCATGAGAAAATGAAATTCTTGGACTAACACCAGCAGAACTTTCTGGACAGAATTCAATTGCCATTCTTGATTTACCCTTCCAAGAAAACAAGAAAATCATTCAAACCCAATAGCAATAACTGCAACCATATCAAGACTAAATATACCCAATGGTCTGATAGAAAAAGACAGCCAGCCAAACTTTGAGGTCTTTCCTTGTTAAGAAAGAAGCATTCAAATTTGGAACCTAACAAAAGCTACATTTAAAGGTCATCACAAAATTGAAGACTTTCGTATCTAAGAATTAGCAGGTGAGCACTAACAGATGGTATCAACAAAAAGAAATGAAGACAAGGACATGGAAACTGAATGCATAAACAACTAAGCCAAGAAGAAATAGGGGAGTAGCTGATTTTAGATAGAGATGGGGACTGAGTCTATTGTTTGAAGGTGGGATAGAAGAGATAACAAGAAGACGTCTATCTAGAGAGATTTTAGCCTGCAACTAGCATGAAACAGGTACGCATGTTTCCTTTGACGTGGGGGGAGATACTTAGAAAATTATGGTCACTAATTTGTAATCCTTTATATATAAATGGAAGAATTATTTCTTGGATAGGATGTCTTAGAAGCCCTACATGTATGGTGTCCAGGGCTGAACCACCACCATCACTACCACCTCCATGACAGCTTTGAGCAAAATAACGTAATCTAATTTAGTAGGTGTTCAGTTATAAAAGTTTGAGATTAAAAAATTTATTTTTCATGTAGTTTTATATTCGAGTTTTTTAATTATTAATATGATAATTTTATATATAATTATTTACTTTAGAATATATAAGATTAATTGAGATATAGGTGAATATTCACATTAATAAAATAATAATAATAAAACAACGTAATCTAAAAAAAAAAAACGTAACCATGTTTTCTGACAGATTAATGTAATAGATTTATACAGGCAATCAAAACCCAACGAGTATGCCTGCCTGCCTTTGAGGCCCCAGAGTCAAAATCACCCTGTCACAGCCTGCAAACAGAGGAGGAATGGGTGGCCACCATGGAGGGATTGGAAAAGAGTGAAATGCAAACAAGAACCAAAGTAAATTAAAGTTTATTTAAGATTTTATTAATCATGCGAGTCTGCAGGATTTTGAGCTCTGAACACATCTTCCACAACTAATGATCAAATCTAGATTCTTCAGAAGTGGACTCCACTTGCTATCAAATTATAATTATGGAATTCCTCCCTCTCTCTCCAGCCCGAATCTGACTTTAAAAAAAAGTTTTTGTATTACTAGATTGTCATGTCAATTATCAGCACTTGATTTATTATATTATCGCTATATCAAAATAAAATTACATAATAATAATAATAATAATAATAATAAACCCTAAACTGTTTTAAAAAATCCTAATCGTCCAAAAAAATATTAATCACTCAGTAAGCTCCGCACTGTTCATGAACCAGAAATTACAACATAAGCGAAGAGAGATTTGTGATTTGTAGATCATAGGGTTGAGGAAAAAATTGGTAAATAAAGAGAATTAAAAGAATTAAAAAAAATTAAAAAAAATTATTAAATATATTAGAATTTAAAAAAACTTATCGGTTTGATTTTAGAAACTTGAAATAAAAAAACCGAATCTAAATAAAAAAAATTAAAAAAAAAACGAGTCAAACTCATTTAAATGATTTTTATTTTAAAATAATTGAACCGAAACCAGTTAGTTTAAACTGATTTTCATTTAGTTTTAATTTTTTTAAATAATTAATTTTATTATTTTTTTAATAAAAATTAAATTAAATTAAAAATATTTGGGTTTGAGCTGTTTATGTGATATGCTGGAAGATCGGAAGAAAAAGGTAAACCGTAGAAAGTTTATCGTCCAAAAAAATATTAATCACTCAGTACGCTCCGCACTGTTCATGAACCACAAATTACAACATAAGCAAAGAGAGATTTGTGATTTGTAGATAATAGGGTTGAGGAAAAACTCAAAAAATCAAGAAAATTAAGAGAATTAAAAATATATTTAAGAAAATAAATAGTAAAAAAACTAATTAAATATATTAGAATTTAAAAAGAATTATAGATTTGATTTTATAAACTTGAAATAAAAAAAATCGAATCTAAACAAAAAAAAACCTAGTCAAGCTTAAAAAATTGAGCAAATTGATTTGAATGATTTTTATTTTAATATAACTGAATCGAAATTAGTTAATTTAAACTAATTTTAGTTTTTTTCAAACAATCAATTTAATTATTTTTTTAATAAAAATCAAATTAAATTGAACATAATCACCCCTTGTTAATCTTTGGATTGGAGCTGTTTATGTGATATGCTGGAAGATCACAAGAAAAAGGTAAACAGTAGAAAATTGAGTTAAATTGGTGAATGCTAATTAAGAAAGTAACGGGTTATCCGAGACGATGTTGATCCAAGGGCACTGTTAAATACATTAAATGTAATGGAAACCATATAATCATGTACAATAGTAATGCTTTTGAGCATATACAATTAATATTTACATATTTAAAAAATAAACATTTATGCTTATTAATCTAATAATATTTTTTTTTAAAATAACAATTACATAGTACTATAAAAACGTGGTGGGGGAAAGGAGGAGAGCCAGAGCTCTGATCGTAGTGTCTACCATGGCTAAATAACAACAATTACATGCTCATGAAGGCACATATGAGAGAGAGGAGAGCACTAGTGTGGTTTATCTGTTCATCATCTGTCTGGATCTTATGCCCACCATGGCTGACAAAGTGAGTCAGAGCTCAAGCATATGGATTCTTTCTTTCATCTGGGTTTTGCTATTTTTATCATTATTTAGTAGTAGAAACCTTAGGTATCTGGATCCACCCTTAACTGCCTAGACTGGATTTTGACTAGAATTAAGATGCGCAATGGACTTTAATATATATATTTTCTGAACACGTCCTAAATAAAATTAATTACAATTCTGCTGGCGTAGATTTGCATCAAAATTATATTAAAATATTAAAAAAACAGGAATTCTTATAAAATACTTTCACGGATGCTGGTTTTGTCAACAAAGTGAAAGGTAAATTATCAGTGAAACAACTAAATAATTAAATTTAAACTAGATTGTTTTTTAATTAATTCATTCACATGCGTCTCAAATGGGTTATAAAGAGGAAAAGATTGCGGGGTCCTCATGGCTCTCTGGACATTGTAGTCAATGCAAATTTCTGGATCATATCATAATTAATTTCTGAATTCTTGAGAAGAAAGTCCAAGTCAAACTATCCTTGCCCACTATCTTGTTGCATTAAAACAAAAACATTAATTTGTGTATATTTTTAGCACCAGCGATCGACCATAACCTCTTTTTTTTTTTAATTTAAATAATGTAAACAAAGTTTTATTTTTATTTTTCCTTCGAACTGGAGCGTCTGGAAATAGAATTAAACTATTTATTGACAAAAATAGCTGATAATTCAAGGTGAGGTTTTAAATAATTGTTAAGTGATCAAATGGTCTGTCCTCTTTGTTTATTTACCAACAAAACTTAAACCATTTTTACCTCCAAAGCTTAATCTAAAGACGAGTTGTGGTCTAATCTAGTAAACGGGCTCCATTATCTCATGCTTCTCTCTCTTTTTTTAGGGGTATAATCTCATGTCTTCTTGAGATTAGAAATAAGCTAGGATTGTTTAAGTTTTAGAAATTATAATGTAAATTGCAGAGAAAAAAATTAGAGTTTCTTAAGCTCTCAAATTGCAACTAAATTATAATGTGAATAATCATAATCTTAAACCATGCAAAAATAACATACTAGTTGTTTTAAATAGAGAACTTAAACTAGAGAACTCACAGCAAGTAAGATTTTGAAACCCAACTATGATCAAAAGAATATAAAAATAACTATGAAACAATATTTTTTATATCCAATCTGGGTATGATTAGAGTCGGCTGATTCACTATAAAATCAGATTTATAAAATACACTTGTAAAATTTTAACTTAATCCAATCATGGAATTAAAAAATATAAATCATTCTAAAGGTTTATGTCTAGAAGTTTGTCCAGACTCTACCATTATATGTGCACTCCAATCTTGAGATCATATAATATAAATCATTCTCCCCGGCATATCCTTCCTTCAAAACAAGCTGGCGCCGCCAATTTGAAGGCCCTCAAGATATCGACTAATTAATTTTTATTAAAATGTAGATGACCGGGACTAGGAACAAGCTTTCTGTGGGATGCGTCAAGAAATTCTACAGTGGTTAGAAAAGGTCGCAAAACTGGACCTGCCCAGGTCGAAGGTATGAGAAGGTCCTCCTGAAAAAAAGACATGATGAAACTAGTTTATAGTTTTCATCTGTTTTGGTTGTTGTTATTAACATTAATTCTGATAGTGGGTTTATGATGTGGTATCTCATATAAAAATATTGTATTAGAGATTAACTAATATAAAAATATTATGTTATAAATTTATAATAAAATGATTCATATAAATATATTGTGTTAAGAATTTATAATTACATAATCCCGTAAAAATGTTAGGAATCAATTATGAATTAGACTAGTTATAAAAAGATATTTGTGGTGGGTGATATTTTCTAACTAAAATTTGAACTGAGAATAAATTCCTTCCAATCTAGGGAGACTAATACAAGAGATAAATATTTTTTTTAGTTAATCTTGTGTTTTTCTATTTCTATTTTTTTTATTTTGTATTATTATGTGTTTTTTTATTTGAATGGAATAATTTTCATAGTTTATTTTTTTATTTAGTATTAGTAGGGTTTTTTAGTTGGTTTTTTCTATATAAAAGGTTATGATAGCTTTTTAATAAGCAATTAAATATTTAAATGAATAAAAATTAAGTATTTTTATAATCTTGTATTTTTTATATTTAAAAATTTTGATTTATAAGAATCTTGTTATCATTCACTTTTATGTGCGAGAGGGGGGTTGGGGTGGGATTGCAAGAGGCTATTTAAATTTCAAAGAACAAAAATATGAACGTCGGAAAAAAATGATTTGTTTTTATTTCTGCAGCTGCTTTCTATCCACCATACATTTTTGAAGGATAATAAAAAGGCATAAAATGTTCATACGTATACGGCACCGTTTTTTGTTGGGACTGCATCACAAATTTTTTATTCAGGCTACATATTAATTATTATTCAGGCTACATATTAATCATTATATTTCTTGTGTTTATTCCATGAAAATGAATGTAGGAAATTAGATGATAATTCAAGATTTTAGATTCAAAATAAATTAATTATGAACTAGTATAATTACCATGCTATATATATTGCAAACTTCTATTTCAGCCCATGAATAGTGTTATTCATTTTAACACTTTGCATTAAAAATAAAAAATTTGGTATATGTAGATAAGCCAGTTTATTTAATATATATAAAAAGCTCACAATGATACATTAAGGAAAAAAATATTTTTATAACAAAATAAAAAAACAACGCTTCTTTAACATAAAAAAGTTTTTTCTTCTTTAAGAAACTATCAATAATAATGTTGGGACAATTCCTATAGTTTTTTTTGAATCGAACCTTGAGTTGGACCACATGTAAATCAAGATTAGCCCATAATAACAGCGGTCCACAAGGAAGTGCTAGGAACAAAAAGGACCCAAGCCCATCATGAACATTAATCCAATTGTAGTGGGCCAGAAGCCTAAGTATTTAATGGTCTTGCTCTCTAAAAGCAGCCCAGCAACAAAAGATCAAGTGAATATTTGAGTTAGAGAAGAAATAATACGATGAAGTGAAAGAACCTTCATCTTGTTAGACCAGTCTGGTTTGATTCGATTTGAAATCTAGTTATTGAATATTTGACACCTTTGCGCACATGAACAAAAAGAAAACTAAGAAGAATTACTCTTGTTTACTGAAAAGGTGGTCTTACTTTCTAGAATTGAAACAAATCGAACCTTGACAATGTACTGTAACATGATAATAAAACGGAATAACAGTCCCATAAGATGAATATTGATTGTTACATGCCTAGTAAATTGTAATGAAATGAAATATAAAGTAAGAGAAGAAGGTGGAAATGAGAATTCGTTTCTTCTTCAATGATTCATCACATTAAATGATCTACCAGCTGTATGGAGGAGAAAGACGCCGCAACTTGTTCCAGTTCTGTGAATTCATGTTACGATTGTGAGAATCTTTTTGATGACAATGGTATTCCCTTCTCATTTGGTACATATACATCAGAGTTGCTTCGACAAAAGAATGGAAAAGGACATGAGATCCCTCCACATATGCTAGCACGACTCGAGCTACTGCGCCTCTTGAAACGTGAAGATTGTTTCGAGTTTTGTTTCTCGTGGCCGTCCGGTTTGTTTCTTGCATTCTTGATCATCCAACGATTTGAACCTTTGTTAGTATCTTCATCGTTTTCATCAGCAGCATCAAGAAATGCACCTAGTAGTGAAAATGGTGGTGAAATGTTTTTCTTTTTCTTGAATTTGAGAGGAATAATGATTTCCCGATTAAGGAAAGGTTCCCTCAAGGATGAAAATTCTTGATCAATGCTGTTTCCTTTGCTTGTGTTGATCTTGATTACATTCAAGCTCTCATGACTTGAATCCTTTCCAGTTAAGGTAGCATCAAGACATACCTGTGGTTGTGGAGTTGGACATACAGGTTGTTCTTGTGCATGTGTCAAGGGAGGAATAATTTTCTTGATTTCAACAGGGACGATCTTCCCATTCAGGAATAGTTCGTCTGCCAGTGGAGATTCTAGATTGATGGTGTCGTTGTGAAAGCAAAAATCTGAATTCAATGAACTTGATTGGGGAGGGCGCTGTTCTATCGGCACAATGTCTCTCTCGGAAAAATCACGAGAAAAGGAGATTCTGGGACCCGCACAAGAATCATCCAAGCATAATTCATTAGCCATTACTTGAAATTCTTCAAGAAAGCTAGCACAGCAAGATTTTTCAAGGAAAACAACAATTTCTGTTTTGATGGTAAGCTATCTAGAGGAGAATGAAAGCCTATCAAATTGCAACAAAATAGAACAGTGCCAAAGGGAGATTGGAAATGAATTCTACATGCACAGCTACTGTGCAAGAGAGGGAAACTAAAGCAAAAAATAGAGCTATCTAAACAGATGTACCATGTAAAACGAGAGGAAATATCAAGAGATACAAAAAAAAAAACACAAGTCTTATTGTGTCACAAGTCCGGCATCCTGAGTTGCTGAATCGGCAAGCTGCTTGTTTCTTTTAGGAAGTCCTGTTTTGAGTGGTTATGTACGACAGGAACACAAGGCACTCCCCTGTTAGTCGTTTTGTATTTGCTATCAAATTGGGAATCAGTAAAATGATGTTTTAAATTGATTAAAGCCTCGTGATTGGCTCTAGTAATTGTCAAAACTATACAGAAACGGGTGGAGGAAGAATAATTAAGCGATAATGAGAAGCAAACCGAAAAAAATAGAGGATAAGGATTTTGTCAGAGAATACAAGTGTTCAAATACTGTAGGAATGTTGTTACACTTTCCATTTGCCGATTTGAATCATTAGTTTTGCATTTGTCACAGATGCCACTGGCCAATTTGAATCATTCACGTATATGTTACTGCCTGGTCGGTCCCTGAGGACAGCTGCATGGGCCATGAAGCTGGCAATCTACCCAGCTAATTGACCATTTTTCGCGGTGGTTTCAAGTGACCATTTGATGTCAGCACAAAATTTTCAAGTGTCAATTTGCATTGAGTACTCTAATAGGGATTTCTCTAATGAAAAGATTGCAATATGCTGCGGCTCTGTATTTTTACTTAGTAAAATATTTAGACGTTGTAAGCTTTTTTTTTTTTAAAAAAAAAATCAATAATTTAAGTTATAATCTCAATTAACTAAATAAATTGATACTGGTAAATTAGTCTAAATTCACTTAATAATTTATATTTTAGATTATGAGATTGAAATAATTTGATAAAAAAATTAAAAAAATCACAATTATTCTAAAAAAATATCAAATGATGATATTGGAAAGAAAAATAAATAAATAAAATATTAACTTTTATTAACTTTTCAAACTTGATTGATAAAAGTAGAAACATTATACATAAAAAAAAAATTGTTAGATGTTTATTTAAAGTAGATCGTTGAACAACTAGCCGCGAAAGGCTCTGCTTTTGGTAATGGGTTCGATTCTGCTCCCGCAAAAGCTTATATGTTTACATCAAAGATTGTTGTGGCAGCCACGTTTAATGACTTAAAATCCCGTGGTGGGCAAAACTAGAAGTCAGGGGAGGTACAACAGATTCCCTCTTGAGGTCTATTTTTTTATATAGAGTTGAGGTATAAGGTAGGAATCTTCTTTGCGCGCAGTATACTGCCAGTAAGGTAGTTGTCAGGATGGTTCTGAGAACTGGGATCCACACGGCTGTTCTAAACATTGGCATGTGTATTAGTTTTCTCGAGAAGGAAACACAGAGGCTGACGATACCATGTTAAAACATTGCAAAGACATGACAAAAACTGATGAGCATTTGGAGGAGAGGAAGCAGAATTGAAGAGTGTACACCATGAACAAGAGATATACATAAAAAAGGGACGAGCATGAACCAAGAGTACATGTCTTTGTTTATGACACACAGCATGTGCCATGATGAAGCTCTTCCCCCGGCTCCCCCCTCCCACTCTTGCATATTTCCATCTCTTTCGGGTCTGAATGCTGTCGATGTAGTACATGCAGTAGGCTTTCTTGACAACTACCTAGCTAGCTAGTTGGCCAAGCAGGCAAGAAAAAAAGGAAAACAACAAACAAATAAAAACGACACTTGCTGCTGTTCTTTTCTGTATGGAAAAGAGATGAAGCCGAGACATTGGACAGTTTGCAAACATTTCCTCTAGAAAAGAAACATTTAAAGAGACTCGAACAAAATTAAATTACCATTTTCTTACATCATTGCCGAGCTTATAAATTATGCCTTCATAAACATTTGAAGTGAATACTACCTAAGTATCTATTGGTAATAATTTTAGGAAAATCACTATGAAGTGAATTGGCTAGCTGTTGCTGGTTTGAATCAAAATGAGCAAGGACTTTCCTTTTCTTCGTGCTTGTGGGCTAGCAGCCTACTTTTTTTGCATCTGGGGCTGCTAGTCATCAGAGAAAATGCATAGTTTTTAACAAAAAGGAAGAAGAAAACGAAATGGCAAGTTGGGAAGGGATATTTATGTTACTGAAATTCATCTTGAAACCAGTAATTACAATTATTTGTTAATAATTCTTGAATCCAAACAAGAACAACCAACTCGTCATGTTCTCCCCAACCGAAAACAACTAGACACCATAGAAACATACCCACAAACTTAAATAATCTCTTCTTGTATAAAATGAAAGAAGAAACCAAAAATCAAATTATCTACAGCATGTGTGAGCAAATACCAAAAGCAATGGTTACCTGTCATTTTGTGCTCCTGAACCAAATTCCTTGAATTTTATCATCTTTCGGTCCCTCAACCCCCTCCACCTTTCTATCTCTTTGTCTTCATGGCAATCTTTTCAAATGGCAAATCAAGTAAACAAAAATATTTTAAGTAAAGAAAAGAAAAACATCAAGCCACCAAAAAAACAGCAATCAAATTTAGGCTGAAAGTAGTTTTTAATTAAAGCACATATTTGGTAAGTCACTTCTTCATGTTCTTCTTATCTTTTCCATTGAAGAAGATTGAACCTAAACCAAATAGATTCCCTGATGGAACATTCAGAACTGGACTGACTCGAACACCATTTCCATAAGGTCCATAATTCTTCTTCAATGGAGGCTTCTGGTAATTCTTCGTAGACGACGATTGTGATGACTTGAAAAATGCTTGTTTATTTTGCTTATGGTTAGTGTCTTTCGTTAATGGTGCTCGCTTACTTCTTGGTGTTGAACCAGCAGAGTAGCTTCGCGATAAGAGTGGCAAATGACACAAACTTTTTCCATAACCACTGGCACAATTCAAGCTACTACTCCTCTTGAAACTCCAAAAAGATTTTGAACTTTGCTTTTGATCTTCTGCTTCATAATTACTCGAACTCTTCATTTCTTTCAAGCGGTCTTTCTTCAGACTATTATTGCTGGAAACATCATCTTGTAGGACTTGTCTTGAGGGCACAGACGAATCCATTTGTTTAGCAGAAGCAGTCTTTTTCTTGATTTCAGTGGGAAGAATTTTTCCATCGGAGAAAAGCTCGTCTGCTGACGATGAGTCGAAACTCTTCCGGACGGCGCAGAAGTCGAAATCAATGTTACCTAATGAACCTGATCGAAGAGGGAGGCGTTGTTCAAAGGGAACAATATCCGGTACGCAAAGATCATGAGAAAATGAAATTCTTGGACTAACACCAGCAGAACTTTCTGGACAGAATTCAATTGCCATTCTTGATTTACCCTTCCAAGAAAACAAGAAAATCATTCAAACCCAATAGCAATAACTGCAACCATATCAAGACTAAATATACCCAATGGTCTGATAGAAAAAGACAGCCAGCCAAACTTTGAGGTCTTTCCTTGTTAAGAAAGAAGCATTCAAATTTGGAACCTAACAAAAGCTACATTTAAAGGTCATCACAAAATTGAACACTTTCGTATCTAAGAATTAGCAGGTGAGCACTAACAGATGGTATCAACAAAAAGAAATGAAGACAAGGACATGGAAACTGAATGCATAAACAACTAAGCCAAGAAGAAATAGGGGAGTAGCTGATTTTAGATAGAGATGGGGACTGAGTCTATTGTTTGAAGGTGGGATAGAAGAGATAACAAGAAGACGTCTATCTAGAGAGATTTTAGCCTGCAACTAGCATGAAACAGGTACGCATGTTTCCTTTGACGTGGGGGGAGATACTTAGAAAATTATGGTCACTAATTTGTAATCCTTTATATATAAATGGAAGAATTATTTCTTGGATAGGATGTCTTAGAAGCCCTACATGTATGGTGTCCAGGGCTGAACCACCACCATCACTACCACCTCCATGACAGCTTTGAGCAAAATAACGTAATCTAATTTAGTAGGTGTTCAGTTATAAAAGTTTGAGATTAAAAAATTTATTTTTCATGTAGTTTTATATTCGAGTTTTTTAATTATTAATATGATAATTTTATATATAATTATTTACTTTAGAATATATAAGATTAATTGAGATATAGGTGAATATTCACATTAATAAAATAATAATAATAAAACAACGTAATCTAAAAAAAAAAACGTAACCATGCTTTCTGACAGATTAATATAATAGATTTATACAGGCAATCAAAACCCAACGAGCCTGCCTGCCTGCCTTTGAGGCCCCAGAGTCAAAATCACCCTGTCACAGCCTGCAAACAGAGGAAGAATGGGTGGCCACCATGGAGGGATTGGAAAAGAGTGAAATGCAAACAAGAACCAAAGTAAATTAAAGTTTATTTAAGATTTTATTAATCATGCGAGTCTGCAGGATTTTGAGCTCTGAACACATCTTCCACAACTAATGATCAAATCTAGATTCTTCAGAAGTGGACTCCACTTGCTATCAAATTATAATTATGGAATTCCTCCCTCTCTCTCCAGCCCGAATCTGACTTTAAAAAAAAGTTTTTGTATTACTAGATTGTCATGTCAATTATCAGCACTTGATTTATTATATTATCGCTATATCAAAATAAAATTACATAATAATAATAATAATAATAATAATAAACCCTAAACTGTTTTAAAAAATCCTAATCGTCCAAAAAAATATTAATCACTCAGTAAGCTCCGCACTGTTCATGAACCAGAAATTACAACATAAGCGAAGAGAGATTTGTGATTTGTAGATCATAGGGTTGAGGAAAAAATTGGTAAATAAAGAGAATTAAAAGAATTAAAAAAAATTAAAAAAAATTATTAAATATATTAGAATTTAAAAAAACTTATCGGTTTGATTTTAGAAACTTGAAATAAAAAAACCGAATCTAAATAAAAAAAATTAAAAAAAAAACGAGTCAAACTCATTTAAATGATTTTTATTTTAAAATAATTGAACCGAAACCAGTTAGTTTAAACTGATTTTCATTTAGTTTTAATTTTTTTAAATAATTAATTTTATTATTT